GGAGGAAGTGGAGGGGAGCTGTTGCATTGGGGTAAATTGTAGTCAATGTCATGAGACAACGTGTGTGTGAACTGCTGTATGGAAAATGAATTTGCTCTGTAAATTTTCACCCAAATCACAATAATTTTTTTTTTTAATTTAAAAATAAAATAACTTTGTTTTTGCCGGAAAACAAAAAATAGACTGTCATAATGGAAGGGAGAGTGTTGGAAGGGCGAAACCTGATTTTTTTTTTTTTTTTTTTGAGTACTTATGACGTTCCAGGCACAGCACTAGATTCACGACATAGCTTAGGCCACTTGATTCTCACAAATGAGGCCGTGTTGTGGTTGTTCGTTGCCGGGGTGAGTCAGTTCTGACCCCTGGCGACCCCATGTGTGCAGACTAGTCCTGCTCCACGGGGCTTTCAGGGCTCCGACCTTTCAGAAGCAGGCTGCTAGGCCTTTCCTCCACAGCCCCTCTGGGTGGGTTCAAACTGCCAGCCTTTTGGCCAGCGGTCAAGCATTTAACTGTTGACGCCACCCAGGTCCTGCAGAGACCACACCAAACCAAACTCACTGCCACTGAGTTGATTCTAACTCATAGTCGGACTCGAATCCCCTTTGTGTTTCCAAGGCAGTAAATCTTTATGGAAGTAGATTGCTCCATCTTCCTTCCACAGAGCAGCGGTTTGAACCGCCAACCTTCTGGTTAGCAGTCACCGTGCCACCAGACCTCCTTAGGTTCTGCAATGCGTTCCTTATATTATAACTACAACTGGGAGCCACTGAAGAAATTACAATGGGGAGGGAGTGTTGTTATTTGCCATCAAGTGGGACCCGACTCGTAGCAACCCCTCCTTGGGTTTCCAAGGCAGTATCACTATGGAAGTAGGATTGCCCAACCTTCCTTCCGAGGAGTGGCTGGTGGGTTTGAATTGCCAGCCTCCTGGTTAGCAGTCAAGTGCCTTAGGCACTTTGTTACCAGAGCTTCTGGGGAGGGAGTGGCATTCATTAATTCAAAGAACGAGTAACCATCGTGTTTACAATGAAATTGGCAATCTACACTGTGGCCTTCCCCTCCCCCAAGTGTCCCGGCCACACTGGCCTTTTTCTTTCTTCTGGTTTCTACCTTTGAAACTTGGGCTTGGTGTTCACTCACCTGGGATGCCCCCCTCGCCATATACCTGTGTGGCTGGCTTCTTCATGCCATCAAAGATGGTGTGCCAATTCAAGGAACTGACATCAACAATTAATATTCTGGGATGCGAATGGGTCACCTTGGGTCAAGTCATGGATATTAATAGAAAACCTTTTGGAGGTGCTTCAAAAAAAATTAGTGGACTGGAAAGCGAGTCTAGAGGCCAGCCAGCCATGTCTGGAACATCCGGTTAAGACCGGGCTCTTCCTTACGGGTCAACATGTTCAAACGCTGGGAGGACCCTTTGTTCCCGGCCGTGGGGCAGTTGGCTTCTTGCCGTTGGCAGGTAGGAAAGGGGGTGCCGTGGCTTTGGAGTCAGGCAGACTCAAACGTTCTCCCTCACCCTTCCTTCCACTAAATGTTGTTGCTCGTTCGGTCAAGTCGGTTCTGACTGATGGCGCCCCCATGTGTGTGGAGGAGAACAGCTCCGGAGGACGATCGAGTGAGTGACCAGGTCTGTCTTCCATGTTGCCTCTGGATGGTTTCAAACCCAGCAGTCAAGCGAGCGCTTAACCAGTTGTACCACCCAGGACTCCAGACACTACATGTGAGCACAAAACCCACCTCAGATACCTGGTTATAAGTGTGGCAGATTCTAAAAAGTACTTTTAAATGAAAAAGACAGAGAAGTGAGATGTCAGTCACTGCTTATGGGAATGGGAGAGAGGCTAATGTCGTCACTTCCTCTAAACTTCTCATTTTTTCCTCTCTTTTCTCTTTTCATTTTTTTTTTTTTAATTGCAGGAAATATCCAGGTCCACCAAACAATGGCCATTTCAACATTCTTTACACGTTCAGTTCAATGACATTAATCTATGTTCATCACATTGTGCAGTCATCATTCTCATCCATCCCCAAACGTCCATCACCCTTAACAAGCTCAGTATCCTCTAAACATTGAGCCCTCCCTTGCGGGTCCCTCCCACTTGCCCCTGATAACCAATAACCTTTGATCTCTACACACTTGCCTCTCCTATATATATATATAGTATTTTATATACCAGCCTAGGTTCTCATTCAATAATTTCTACACAAATTGTCCAGTGACACACTGGTTCCATTCTTCACAATGCCTGAACAGTCTCCTGATTTCCATTCTGGTTGCTCTGTTTCCATTCATCTAGTTTCCCTATCCCCTTATATGCTCATCTGGGTTTTAAAGTCATTATTGACTATTTGGTTTCATATAGGAGACATATTCTATATTCGAATATTCACAATTCTAATAATTCTATTCTAATAGAATTCTATATAGACTATTCAATTAATCCTATTTTAATAATCACAAAGTCCTGGAGGCTGGAACTATTATCAGGCCATGTTATAGAGAAACAAAGTAAGGTAAGGCAAAGTTCAGTCAAATTATGCTGAGTGCAATAAGTCAATCACAAAAGGGCAACTATTATATGACCTCACTAATGTGAAATTCCTGGAACAAACAGATGGATAGAGATCAAAGTTTGCTAGTTATTACTGGAGGTGAGAGGGAGGGAAAGGGAGTTATTGTTCAGGAAGTATTGAGTGTCTGTGGTGATGGGCAACTTGACAACAAATATTGGTTGCACATGGAGGTGGTAATCATTCTTACTGAATTGCACACATGAAAAATCTTGCATTGGCAAATGTTGTGTTATTGCATTGTTATAATAATGAAAACCTGGGAAGACAAAGCCCAGGAAAGGTAGACCT